CAGAAAGTGTGAAATAACCAAGTAAATAATTATCTCTTGTCAATGAATTTTCACCTTCAAATACTTTAACATCAACACTAAATTGTGTATTTGAAGAAGTTGTCAGGGTTTCTGTTTGTTTAGTTGAATCTTCTCTATCGAAGATAACTAATTCTGCCACAGTACCACCAGATTGATCATATGAAGAAATTGTAAATGTTTGTGTCTGTTTTGTTGCAATTGTTGTATTACGTTTAATTACGACTGTCATTACACCACCAGCAGTTTCAATACCCTGGAAAAGATCACAAAAAAAAAATTTAGAAAAGAATTTTCCCTTCAATTAACTTACCAATGAAAGTGGTGCAACATCAAGTAAAAGTATGTCTTTAACATCTTCAGACTTATCACCTGTTAATATAGCTGCTTGTACAGCAGCACCATAAGCAACAGCTTCATCTGGATTAATTGATTTATTTAATTCTTTACCATTAAAGAAATCTTGTAGAAGTTTTTGTACTTTTGGAATACGTGTTGAACCACCAATTAACACAATTTCATGTATATTTGATTTGTCCATTTTAGCATCATGTAAAGCCTTTTCAACAGATTCAAGTGTGGAACGAAATAAATGATCATTAATTTCTTCAAAATGAGCACGAGTTATTGTTGAATAGAAATCAATACCTTCGTGAAATGAATCAATTTCAATTGATGCTTGAGATGATGACGATAAAGTAAGCTAAAGAAAGAAAACTGTTAGCACCATCTTTGTGGGATTAAAATGTGGAACACGGTTGATTTGCTTTCTTCAATTGTAACTGAGAAAATATTATAGTGTCTGTGATGGTTCGCTGTTAACGGAACAGTCACGATTTGTGAAGGGGAGGGAGTGAAAATTTCTACTCGTATATTTCAACATTCATTTTAGATCGTGCTTCACAAAACAGAGTTGATTAGAGTAGGTATATGACAGCTCAAATCAGCTTGCAAAGAGCGGGACTTTGTGGGCCACTTCTTCTTGCTTTGAGAACACAGCACACCTTGCTCAAGCGTCACAGAATTTCATCTTTATCTCATCAATGACAAAAGCAAACTCTCAGAAATT